TCATTGGCTTAGGGATGCACAGTTTCTTATGTGCCAATGACTTCTATTCATGCTTATAGTTAACACAGAACTGATTTCCTGTGTCTGGAAATAAATTTCAATCTAGGAATGTTTACCCAATTTTACAATCCAGGTTACAAAAACATTTAAAGTGTCCAGTTTTCCTGATGTTCCCACAATGTCGTTTCACTACAGAACCTACTACTATAACTAAGAATAATAATGTATAAACAGAAAAAGGCCACGGCAGAGCAGCAGGTAGCACTGTCACTTTATTCCTCTAAGGTCGTGGGTTCAATGCTGGATAGCATGTTCTCAATACACACATAGCATTTTTTTTAGAATAATATTTTCATTGTAAAATAATATTTTTCAACATTAATTACAATAAAAGGATGTTCAAGCAATTACGTTGTCATGCTAACACTGACAGAACCTTTCTAAAAACTTAAAACATTAAAATACTGTTTTTGCCAACTTTGAGACCATTACATTACATTACTGTTAGCTAGACCTACTCAGAAAATAAATTGTTACAGTGATTAAAATGTTTGAACTAGCAGTTATTTAGCCATCCACCTTTTTAAGTGGAATTTCACAATCAGAAAACTTTTAAGGTCAGCATGAGCCACTCATTTATTCTCTTGCTCCCATAACAGAGTTGTTGAAAATACTTACACAAATGAACACAGACCTCCTTGTGCATTGTGTAATCACTGTGATCCAATGAGTAACCCCCAGATCCAGCCCATTCCCTTGGTCTCCCCAAATGGAAATATACAGCAACTGCCACCAGGCTGCTGCCACTAACTAAAAATGTCACATTGATCTAGACTGACATTGATCTAGACTGACCCCATTTCCTAGACACACCACATTGTGTAATATAAAGCACTGAGCAGTCCAGCCTAAATTCAGTTCTCATATAATTACTTTTTAATCAGGCCGCCTCAGTTTTACTACAAAGCCTAGACCTTAACTCTCTCTGGTTGAGTATTAAGCAAAAAAAATAAAAAATAAATAAACCCTGTGAGTGCCCAAAACCCCCAAGGCAAGGAGCCCCAGCAACCCCAGCATGCTTTAGCCCTAGTGCTGTCTTCTCCAGCATCCTTTCACAAGAAAGACGTGTAAATTTGTGAATGCACTACATATTTACAGAGCTTTTAAAAGCAAACAAGCACAGAAAACCACTGCATGATTACAGGGTAGTCTCCTGACCCCAAGTCTATTATCCAGCATAAGAACCTCTGGCATCTGGGATTTCATTGCAGCAATGTCAGAAGGTCTTTAAATGGTAATGCCATGCATTTTCTTTTTAAGTGGCCCTCCTCTGAGACAATGGATATAAAACAAATGACAATTGGCCGCTTTCACATAATTCTGCACACTCATCCATCTTGTTTCCTTTACTGATGACCCACAAAACCCCCCAATGGAGAGACTCTTATCACCATGTGTGACACTGCATTTGCAATCAAAATATGCCCAATTTCCACTGTCATCAGTTTACCCTGTACTGAAAGAGAACACCAGGAAAGCCATTTATCAGATGTGGACTAGGTCACAGCATGAAGTCATTTAGATTCTAAGTCCTCCAAAATATTCAAATTGAATGATCATCTTTCCACACATAAACTCAAAAACCTCTGAAGATTGAATGTAACTACATTTACAGCTGCATCCCTTATTTCTATTCCCATTTGTTAATAGCTTACAGTCTTGCCATAGCTTGATTTGTTTCAATGGCTTATTAGAAAGAATTGCTTTGTCAAAGCAAGAAATGAGCTGTTTAGGACCTTTGACTTTGCCATTTTATGCTGTGCCAAGCAGTGGCCCTGAGAGCAATGCCAAATGAAAGTCAACAGGAGACTCTTCAGGCAGCCGATTACATGCTGTCTGGCAGACTAAAATGGGAAACCACCTTAAAAAGGAGCTGGTCTGTATTAAAGGTTACATTTTATTCCTATTCCACTTTACAGTCTAGTAATACCAGCTTTCAAATATTTTAACAAGGGCTTTAAAACGACAGTTCAAGTGTGATAACTGCAAAGGTGCAAAGCTCATCTAAATGAATGAGAGGTGGCATGGGGAATAGGAACCAGGCTACTTAGAAACATACTAAGTAGCTAGAAATATGCATATTGTTCAATACTATCAGTGTATGTAAAAAATTGTTACTCGGAAGGAAAATCATAACTACATCCTTAACATTAAAAATAAATAGTATGTTAGGATTCTCTTCAGGACTTTAATGTGCTGTTTGATGATCACCAGTAAGAGTGATGAGTGATGCCCAGGAGCGTGTCTAGAGTGTACTGAGGTCAGGGGTTCAGCCCACATGTTGTCTAAATGCCCACTCCCCACACTGTCAGAGAAAAGGGCACAGCCCTGGTACAATTTTGTTCCCCAAGGTACTAACAACATTAATGTATCCCCAATGGTACAAAAATGATCCGCAGAGTCCATTTTTGTAGCTTAAAAGGTACATTTATGTACAGTCACGGTACAATTGGCAGACCCTCGAGGGTACAACCCCAGAGACAAGTATTTGTACTCTCAAATGTACAAATTGGTACGTTTTTCTGACTGTGTATACTCTGCTCTCTCTTAGATGAACTGAGGCAGCTGCGCATGAAGTCTCCCCCCACCCCCTGAATGAGCAATAAATGTAAATAACTCACTGTACTTATAGTATTGTTTTGTACATACTGTACTGCATTTATACCAGCAGCCCTTGTAATGGCATGTAGTCCTGGACTTTTTATATTTATTAACACATACACACTGTACGTAACAACCAGACTGTATTTCATCTTATCTTGTATATTATCTCCTGTATCTATGACAGCCATTGACAATCGGAGACAAATTTCCAGTATATGTGAACATACCAGGCCAATAAACCTGATTCTGATTCAGTGACACAATCTGAACTCCTGCTGGAAAAAGACAGCCATGAAATTTACACTGTGCACTCCAATATACCACAGCGTACCTAAGTAACTCTATGCTATGATTAAGGCTTTACTAACCTGCTGTCCACTGCTCTAAAACAACTGCCTGACTGAAAACCAGACTTGCAAGCAGCAAATTCAACATCCAGTGCACATCAGAAGCACACAGTATATCATTATATTTTTAATATAATAGCACTGTGAGGTGCTAGGTTAAGATACAACCATCTTGTGAGGGAGAGACATAATATCGGGCTTATTTGTGATGATTAGTCCACCTATCACTCAAGTTCCATGATACGTCTAAACTGCTGTTTTTCCACTGTTTCGTCCTAGTAACCCAGATACTAGTTTGTGCCAGTCTTCAGAACTTTATCCTGCCGTACACTAAATTCCCCCAGTTCACCCAGTACTAGGGCTGGGCAATTAATCGAAAATTAATCAAAACCAACATCTTGCCCATGTCGGTTACTTCGTTTTTTTTATTCTGTTAATACTTAAAAAATTCTATTAATACTTTCCCCAGTGTATGTTCATGTGCTGTCCCCTTGAAAACATACTACCACGTTTGTTGTCACGTGACTCCGCCTCATCACCGCACAAAGAGGTCAAATGTAAACACTGAAAAAAAAAAAACGTTCTACCAGCGTGAAAAAACTGTTTCATCTAAATTTTAAATGCAATGGAAACCTCATATAGTGATAATGATTATAGTGATCAACTGCTTATATGGATCAAAAACTTTGGGACAGAATCATTCCTGTACAAGTACTGTTTAAATAATTCACTTATAGTAATCGAGTCATCCGCTTAGTGTTTATTTTAGGTCTTTTTATACATGACGTATGGAAAATTAAAACTATGGTAATTCTTTTTTTACTTGCCTACTTTGCCTTGCGGTAACCCGGTCTGCTTTCAACTAGCTACCTGAGGCTAATGCTGCATGCACAGAAAACATGTCAGGAAAAAGAAAGTCTCTCAATGACAAATATAGACTCATCAATGTTTATAATAAACTAACAAAAACGAGCCAATGAGATGCAGCAGCGAAACTACAATAAGCTATATTTTATGTACAGTATTGTACTGTATTATAGCGTATTAGAATTATACACCGTTCAGTAATGTAATTTGTGCAGTACTGTAATTTGAAAGGCGGTTGAAACAGCTGTGGTGTATTTTGAAATCGTCAAAAAATTAAGTAAATAGCGACGCTGTCCGTTACCTTATATTCATGTAATAAATATACAAATGTCCATTAGATTATGATCTGCCGGAGACAAAGGGAAAAATAAATGAAAATTAAAAAATCAATGATCAACGGCTTATAGTGATCAGTTTCACCCAGACAGTGATTACTAGATTACAAGAAATGCAAACTATTTTTTACTTTTTTAGGGAACTTGCTTTTTACATTAAAACTAAAATGTCACCTTTTTCATTGGACATTTTCATTTCAAGCGATTTGTGTTTTGACAATATTTTACTTTACCAAAAAGAGAGGACACAATGCAAATGTGCTCAAACAAAGTATTCTGACCGCAGAAAGCAAATGTGAACATGAAACAAAGCGAAATCCTGGACATTTCAGGTATTCTTAGGCCCCAAAAAAGAAGACAAGTCTCAAAAAAAGAGAACGTGTGGTCACCTTACATTTGCTGACATGGGTTTAGGTCACCTTGGGCATTGACCAAATTTCAAACAATTCCAACCTACCCTCATCTAATTGCCTACCTGTCAATTACACATTTCAGTAATCTTACACTATAACTTAAAAATGTTTGCACATTTACACAAAGTTTATGACCACGACTTTTCCATACAAACTCAACATGTACTGGATCACTTCAACATGTTGTAATTTTCTAACATCAGATCGAAATGATCCAATAGATGGCTGGTTCAGAGTAAATACACAACATAGTAACAGGTACCTAAATTTACTAAACAAGTGATGTGTTGTCAAACAAACAGCTCCTTGTTTTTCCTTTAAAATTAATTGGAGCACATAGACACCACCTGGTGGCAAGAAGACACGCGGATTACCTGTTACAGTCGACATGGAGCTGCAGGTGGGAGGCACTGATGGACAGCGCGATCTTGTGCCACTGGCCATCCGCCAGCCTGTAGGGGAAGGTCTCAGAGCGAGGTTTCCCTCTGAAGCGGTAGCGGTATCGGATCTCCTCCCGCAGACCGCTGCTCTCCACCTCAAAGTAGCTGAGGACAAACGGGACAGCAAAGTAGATGTGTGGTTTTCTTCCCGTCTTACGCATATCATTCTAACATCTAATTATTAATAAAAAGTTGTGTGAATTTACCAAAATTAAAGTGACAGAGTGCAAAATACCTTGACAGTGTTTAATCAACACTGGTCCAGTACAACAGAGCACAATAAGCAGACTACCATACAAACACAAGGCCCAGACAGAAATCCAGAAAGACAATGGCAGCATCACAAACAAAACACTAACAAAAATGAGGGAGCTTTAATGAAGCAAAATGGAAACTGAGAAACCTCTTCCTATTCCAGAACAGCATCATGTGCCAAGGAGACTGTCAGCCCCCAATAAAAATAACATATTGATTGCAGCTTAACGAAATGGGGCCAGTGACACCAGGTCAGGGGGTACAGGCACATGCACATCATTAGCGCTTTATGGCTCTAATAAACAAAAAGGCAAAGGAGAGGCAGGGCTTAACGAAGGAACAGCACGCAGCCACAGGCCAAAGTCCTCCAGGCCGCATCTGTATCTTTCTGTATTTATGATGCTGGACGAAATACGTCCCGCTGTCGAGGAATTAAAAATCTCCAGAATTAACATAAGCCTTTCAAGGATTAAAGTAGCGTACTGAAATGAAAAGAACAGCACATTGCAAGCTTGGCGTTTCTTACACACACACAAACACAGGTTTGTAATTATATCTTTGAGGGGACTCTCCATTCATTACAATTCCAACATGACAACCTAAACCATAAGTAACTAAACAAAATACGAAGCCTTTGGCACTTCTTGTTTTTTATTGCATTCACAGATCTTTGTGGGGACCTGAGAAATGGTGCCCACAATGTCAAATTAACAGGTTTTATTACATTGTGGCGGACATTTGGGCCCCACAATGTGATATAAACAGAATAAACACACACACCAGAAAATTTACCTCCATCATTTAAACTAAAGAATATTACACTGAATATTTTTGTTTTACCATCTCACAATGACCTTAGTTTGTCCCCAGCTCCCACAACTTGTATCTTATTCATTTTAACTCTTCACAGCAACAGACTTCCTTAAAAGGTTGCATTATTACCAAAGCCTGTCATTTCTATAAATCACAAACCCTTTAATAAGAAAGTAATAACCAATATTTAAAAAATCTTTATTAAGCCAAGACTCCAAGGACTATTGCATTTTCTGTTTTCAATCAAAACCAGCCATGTAAAGATTAATTTACAATCATGTAAGGATTAATTTACATTTACTAATTTCACAGGCGCATCCATCCAATGAGACTTCAATAAAGAAATAAAGGCCTAAACACCAAGAATGTCAAAGTTTCTTTTTTACATTTCAAAAAGAACTTATTTTAATAATCAAGTCAGCATTGGCATTTTCCAGTAGGTGGCCTGCCTGTCTACTCAGAGCCACCAGATAAATAGGACCATACAATGCTACTATTATAACTTAGCAAACAGCAGAAACAGGATTAACAAAAGGTGCACTATGACCTTAGAGGGAAGCAGAACTGCTTGGTAAGCCCAAGTGCATCAGATCATCCCTGAGCGAGTACAACCAGCAGCAAAGGGCATCCGAGGCACTCGGAAAATGTGTGCCACTATCTCCCAAATAAAAAGTGATATATATGCCTATTCTCACACAATACTTATAATAACTAATTTCAAAATGGCGGAAAATTTTTTATATTTTATATGCAATGCCACAAATTCACTCTTATTCTGAAGTAGGCATTTTCCAATCTTATTTCAATGCATGTGGGTCATAGTCAGTGACTGATAGTTCCAAACTTTTGGGAAGCTGAGGATTAAAAGCCGGCAATGTTTTTTTTTACATAATATGTAATTTCAAAGGAAGCTCAGAGAGATGACTGACAGCACTACACCTGACACATACTCAGCATGGGATGTTACTGAGGTAAAAAAAAAAAATCTGCAATCTACATAAATATTTCTTTAAATAAATTTTTGATAGAAAATAAAAAAGAAACAAATGGCCAATCCTCTGATCTGGTAACAGCGCATGTAATCCAAAAACCACTGAAAAGCATCACATCTTTTATTAATGGTTTGGAATAAGAAATATCCTTATGGAAAGCCGAAAGTCAAGAAAGTAGGAAATTGAAGAAAATGAGTAGACCTACTCTAATTACTTCACTTTAAAATTCTGACCTTTTAGTTTTGTATATTATCTTTAAAGCTGTAAAATTGCAGAATGAGTAATGTTGGGTTTGCTTTTTAGCCTGAACAGAATGTCACAATGTGTGAGAGAGCTGTATGGATGTCTGGAGCTGACGGCAGCATACGTTTCTGGCTATGGAGACGGCTTTCACTCATAGTCATTAAGATGCATAGTGGGTGATGGTTATTAATCTCTCTTTAAACAACGCACAGCCCCACTACTGGGGAAGACTGCTAAATTAGAGCCATTAAGGAAACAATTCAATCAAGTGTTTAAGTGACTAGCCAGAATGCACAATGCACAACCCTTGAAGCATGAGGGTGAGTTATTTGCAAACCTTTGATTGGTTCACTTCCTAACCTGGCTCCTTTTTATGGGATTTAATTTTTTTTTCTATCAATAACAAAGAAAAAGCTATAATTAAGCCTTCAGTATAAAACATAATTCACCCTTTGGGGGTATGTACTGATAAGACCTTGCTAAGAAGGGCATGAAATATGGATCAGTTATCCTTAATAAAATAAAGGGGCTGTATTAACACTGCCAGAAAGGTGCATGCTTCACATTTTTGGTTAGGTTTCTAATTTATTTGTGATAATGATCCTTTCTACCTACCCTGTTGAATTCTTACACTCTCCAGGTCCCCATTTGTCTTTTATGGGCCAAAAGAAGCTTGGTATTACCCAATCAAAGCACCCACATTGTTTACAAATGGGTCATACCAGAGTACCAATTATCTCCTACTGTAATGCAACTAAATCCGTGTTTACACAGGTGAGAATTTCATTTAATGCAGAGAAAAAAGGGGGTTTTAAAAATTATCTTTCTGACATCACACATAATCCAGCATAAAAAGACAATTTATTTACAAATACTCTATAACAGAAACCATTTACAGGACAAAAATACCAAGTTTCAATGCTGTCTGTGCACCAACTGTTATTGTTGGAATAAAGCAAACCCAAAAAAAAGGATAAAAATCAGAATCCAATTGCTATTTTCCCCTCCAGATCTTCAGAGAATTGAGTCCACTGTTGTTGATTGTTCTACACTATGCTGACCTAAAAACTACCAACGACATCTCCTCCAGTAGATCTAATATCTTTATAAACAAATTAGATGAAAAGTCAGTATTCCAACACAATACCATTTACGTTTCAGTTTGCATGTTCAGAAGGTGAGAAATAAAATAAGAATGCAGATAAATTACCTGTGCTCAGACTCGTGGATGGAGAATATGACTCCAGACGTTGAAGACCTCTGCTGGACAGAGGCCAGGAAGGTGAATTCATTTTTACCTCTGAACAGCTGAACCAACTTCTGTGTGATGTGTGCTGGTGCGTGAATTACTCTATCCACATCTAAAAAATTAAAAAGGGCAAGTCAAGATAGAACAATTAAGGCAGACATCTCACAAAATAAAACAAATGAACAACACTGTTTATCTTCACATTAATATAGTATGAATATTAAGTCTCCTTTATTTAAAAAAAATTTCCCCAGGAAAACCTTTGAAATCTAGAAAGGTGGGGCTGTCGGAAACAACAGCATTGTATTGCCTAGTGAGCCCTGTCACCGTTTCCGCCCATCTAATCCGTACCCCTCCAGTGCTCACCAAACTGTGCAATTTCTAGAAGTACTGTACTAGGTGGATCAACTGGAAATGTGAAATGCTGAATGCTCTGGTTATATTCTGTATTATATTGTACACACAAGTTTAATGTTCCCAGAAATACTAAATCAAGCTAAGGTAATCCCTAAAAAGTACACACAACTTACTTTTTTTCTGCTATCAATTTGATATTTCGGGATGTACAATAAATTTTCAATTTAATTAAATGTAACGTTTTGTTTATTTGTGTTGTTGCCTAAAGAAAGCGTGACCGCAGAATAGTGAAGTGAGCAAATATGATATGTTTTATGGTAGTAAATTTATTTTCTTAAATCTTTGTAATAATGCACAATATGTCATCCATTCCAAACTGCAGTTATTCTGCTAGACCTGGCACTTGTGCTTCGACTAATTCTATTAATTTAGGTGTTATGGTCATCTAATTCTTAATACTGCTCATGAAAATTAAAATACAGGTTTCCCCCACTATCCAACAGTAGAGCGTTCCTATGAATCCTGTCATAACCCAAAATGGCATTAAGAAGCAATTACCATTAATTTACATGGGAAAAAAACTGTGTTCCCAGACCAAAAAAATAACCAACAAAATCATACCAAAAAGAATACAATTTTTTTTAAATAACACTAAAATATATATATAAAAAAAGCAAGAAGAAGTAACACAGCTTATATAAACTAAAAATAATGTATATACAGTGTAAGAACATCATAGAGTGTACATAGTACATACACAAACCTAGAAATCATAGCATATTACACACCCAGGGTATATAGTATAGCCTAAATAATGATAAAAAGTACAGCATAGTAAATACAAGAATGAGTAACATAGTTGTTATTATGTACTGTGCATAATAGTTTTTTACACTTTCATGTAACTAGCAGTTTAGTATAGGCTTGTTTTCACATGCATCTCCACAATCGCATGATGCATTGCACTATAACGTTAGGGCGGCACAACATCCCTAGATGACAGGAAATTTTCAGCACCATTATAATCTTACGGAACTACCATAGCATATGTGGTGCATCGTTGACTGAAATGTCATTATGCAGTGCATAACTGTATATCTGTAACTGGCTTGCCGATCAACCAACACTAAATGCTACGGTATTTTAACTTTTCTCCTATTTATGTAAAAGCAAAAATTCTCTTCGGATTTCTTTCAGTTAGCGAAAATAGATGCTAATGTAAGTCTTTCATAAAAGAAATGCAGTATAAACTGAACATTCGTAGAACGGTGGATTATCTTTATACGTATACATTTTTTAGCTCATATTCTGCCAAGTTTGGGGGTCATACTGGTTTGAATAAGGTGATTCACATTTTTCCACTGGAAGTCCTGCTTGAATTTCACAGAGCAGTGCCAAAACATTGTCACTCTCAGAAGCAGCAGCACAGACAAGGCAAGACAGCTATTTACATGGCATGGTCACTCCGAGTGAGGTATTAACGAAACACATGTGCCTCAAGGGGAATACAATACAGTTACTATGCTTGTTATTTACAAAATAAAATATGCAGGGGCACTCATTTAACAACAGAATAACATATACTAGTTACCTGCATAATTAACAAACTGGCCCCGTGATGTCACACTGCCCCCACCCGAGGGGTTAGCCGTCCCTGGTGACCTCCGAATGTACCCGTCGTGATGTGCACTGCTCACAGACCGTAGGGTGGAGACTCTGGGACACCATTAGCAATTGCTGGCTGCCATTCGGGGGCCATTGGTGCCAGTATAGTAGCCCATCTTGCTCCTCAAAGCCCCCCACTGTCAATTTAGGGCCTTAGTCTCCCAGTGGAGACCTTCCTCCACTGTGGTCACCACGCCACCTGCAACCAACCCTTGATTCATGCCAGCACTGGGTTGATCGCTCCCCCTGCAGCCATTAGCAATCAATGGTCCCCAGTCCGTTGGCGCCAATGTCCTCCTGTTCTGCTGCTGCTATAACCGCAGCAGCAGTAACAGTGATTGTCCTTCTCACAGGGGAGGCAAGAGAGAGCATCCGCTTTGTTGTGGGGCTTGGAACAAATCAGGGGCCGGTCAGAATGTGCTGGAACAGCTGGAAGTGAGGTGGTCCCTCTCATCATGGTCCACTGTCCTGCCCGTGTTCCACTTTCAATCGATATTTTGCTAGAGGGACACCATGTCTGCAACAAGATGGAGGGTGGCCTTAGACATGTTTATGTGCGCCCCCAGATGACACAGCATGTCCAGCTTGATGATGCAGCGATCACGAATGTTAGCCAGCCACACCTCCTGCTCTGTGGTCTGCCTGATCTTTGTGATGGCAGTGAATGATGCTAGCTAAAACCCAGTCACTTCCCATTCTGGTGGGGCTGGCTGGTCAATGCCCAGTAGGACACCAGACTAGGCAAGGGGGATGGTGGACTCTCCACCTCACAATCCACAAAGAACCAACGCTCATAGCTCAGCTGACCCACTGTGATGGCACGAGTGATCTCTATCAGCACCAGCTACTTGGAGCTTTCTCAGTGGCTGTACTGGGATGTGGCAGGGTGCAGGTACTGTAGTCTGTCCAGCTTCGCTGTAGCAGTAGCAGGGTCCATCAGCTCATTGGCGTTGCCACTAGTCATTCCCAGAGCGGAGCATCTGTGCCTTTAGTGTCACAGGCATGACTTTGTGTGGGTGGCTAACGGCATCTGGATCACTCGGGAAGTGAGGGTAGTCTTACCATTCACAGATGCAGAAGTGTACACCAAGCACCCAGAGTTTCACCCAAAACCTTCCTTCGCACTACCTCTTCGGTTAGTCACTGACAGAACTGCTGTTCCAGGGTTGCCAGCAAGGAGGCATAGTTCTGCAGTTCCACAGGCGTCAGGCTGAGCAGCTTCTGATGTGCCTCTCCTTCCAGTCCCAGCACCAGGTGGAGCACCGTCTCTGTCCATTGTGCCATGATGCAAGGCACCCTTGAGCGAGGTTTGGCTTCAGCAGCTCCTTTCTGCTGTATCGGGGAAGGTTCAAGGCAGTCTTCATCACGGTGAGCGCAGCTTTGGCTTCCAGTGGAACCGATGCACACTCTCCGGACTGGCCCTGAAAGTGTGGCGAGCAAAGCAATCTAGATCCATTGAGTTGTCCCAGGAAGGCCCAATGCTTGGTTCCTAGGGTCTCCTGTTAGCTTACCACTGCTGTCTTGCACCATCTTTGCATCTTAGTCTGTTGTAACCCTCAGATCAGGTCATCAATCTCATCTTCAACTCCTCATCCTGCTTCTGAGACCAATATGGCGAGCTCATGAAAGTGGGTGTTTTCCATGGGGTGATTGACACTTTTCCACCAGAAGTCGCACCTTTATTTGACAGACTGTCACAGCCTGCATTCCTTCCTCCTTGTTCTTTCCCCAGTGTGGCGAGCCACACCTGTTAATAATTTGTCTTACCTCTTTTTCCACCTTGTTATTCACACCAGATGCCTCTTGTTTGCTCCTCATCAGTGATCTATATAAGTGCCTCCCAGTCCTGTGCTCCCCAGTCCAGTCAATGATGTTACCCCAGAGTGTGTTCCACAATGATTTCCCTTGGCAGTTTTGTCTTGTGTCTGATCCCACGCTGTCAGCTTTTGTTTACCCTGTTCCCATTCCATAATAAACCTCCCCTTTTTGGTTTACCCTCATGCATGCTCCTGCCTCCTTCGTTACTGGAACGTGACACAGACCAATGTCAAATACTCAAAGCGGCAGTGTAGATAAGGCGAGACAACTATTTATATGGCACACACGTGGGGTGACACATTAACGAAACATGTGCACTTACAGAGGAACAGTACACAGTTGCCATGCTTACTGTTCATTACATAAAATATGTGAGGGCATACATTAAACAGAATAATAACACAAACTAGCGGTGCCATGCAAGACGTTCCGATAACCTGCATAATTAATTAACTGACCAGCCCCACAGCATCACAATATGTTTCCCATTCCAAATTTTTTCTCCTGTACTTTTTTTAATAGATAAATATTTTGTGGTCATTTAGTTATGTGGTCATGTCATGTACTACATGTACTATTTTATTAATTTATCTTTTATTTTAATTAATAGATTATGCAGCTTTACATTACTGATTTGCTCTACATTGCAAGACAAACACAACAAAAGTCAAAATATCATTGTAGCAGGAAAGCACACCTATAGTTTCCTTTGCTGTCAGAGTTTTCATTCCCATTGTGTCTGTGAGACAGGCTGCTTCCAGGCTTAACCTTTCTAAGGCAGCAGTACACATGAACAAGAAGCACCTTTCTAATGCCAGAGATGACTGTCAACTTATCAAGGGCTACCACAATTAGTCGACGTAGTTGATGTCATCAATGCTGAAAATGCATCCACATCAATATTTTAAAATCGACACATCTTTTTTTAATTATTTTAATGATTTCTAAAACACTTCAGTTCATTATCACAACTGTAATACCACTATGCAAATACAGGAGTAATTCAAATTATCACTAAAGAAAAGTGTTTTGTGCACTGTGCAAAGCATGATCACCTGAAGAGGAAACGCACAGGAGCTATTCTGGGTGATGGAACGCCAGAGTACGCAAAACCACCATGTTGTCTATTCATGTTTATCAAATTACCATTAGTACAGAGAGATTTTTAATATCTTTTGTCCTTGTAACTGCTTAATATACACATTATTAAAACCATAACATTTGTTTGTGAAAATGTTTAGGCTAAAATCCAGGCTTATTCTACGTGTACAT